TCTTCGTTCAGCCTTTATGTCCCCAGATTCGTCTCCCGTCTGTTTGGAGACCAGTTCAGCTTTGTGCAGCAGTTCATATCTCAGCATACAGCAAGACTTGACTGGATGTTCTTGCTGTGTACAAACTCCATCACCCCCTCTGGACAGTTAGTTCAGTTTGCTCTTGGACTGTTGGATCTGTGAAAAGTCACGTTACTTGGCTGAAAAGTTCTTTGTTGTTTTGTCAGATGTGCTCGACTGACAACTTATTTGAACCGTCCCATTGGTCAGTTTCACAGACCCCAACGTCAGCGCCCACCTGAACACATCTGTATCCGATCCGGCCCCCGGCACTCGAGAGTCCTGATCAAAACTCAGATGGATGCTGTATGCAGTTAAATGCTACCTTCCATGTGTTGTGGGCCTAAGTAGACTCATCTTCCCACTCCAAAGTTCTGTCATCTCTAGCTGCAGAGAAGAAAAGAGATAATCAAATTATTAAAACCAGATTCAACATTCATCTGTTATCCACATTAATCGTTAGTTAGCAAGTTTTATTCTGGGACCACAGCGTTTACCCCAACGGAGTCATTCTGGTGTTCTGGATCGGACAATAGATGTTTTAACCGCTCAATTACACAAGAGTGAAAGCTTTAATTAAACACTGCACAAGCCAATTCTTTACGCCTACTGCATAAAATATTCCCCTCCAAACAATGTCCGCCATCTTGTAGAGTATGTGTGTTGACACATCACCTGACAGTGAAGTCCACTCCCAGGGCCACATTATCGTCCAGACCTTGTAAATTTAGGCAGCGTGTTAATGTGTAATCACTTATTGTTATATAACCAATCTGCAAATCATCTCTCGTCATAACTATGCTTTCCCACTGTATCACAAACAAGATACTTTTAATACAAATCAATTAAGACTATTTATACCCTTCAAGACATCACAAAGTCCATTATCACTGCACAAAAACGTGTACATGCCCTTTGTTCACAAAGTACAACTTCTTAAACTCACCATGTACACCTCTCTGTTGTCCTTTTGCACTCCCAGGACCTGTGTGAAGTCTCAAATAATAAAGTTAAATACCTGGCGTTTACCCACTAGAATTGTCGTTGTCCCCTAAATAACCTAGTCCCTGCAGCTCTCAGAAGGAAACAGCTCCTAAATGCTAAACATTTCCAATACGTGATCAACTCATGTGGACTGATTACTTAAACTGAAGTTTTCCAATTCGAGTACAATTAAGATTGATTTATTTAACCCAAGTATTTACAATTTGAATTTAGTTATGGCTGTATAATTTAATCTAATTTTTTCAATTTGAGTTTAGTTTCCTAACGTATTTAACTTTTTCAATTTGAGTCCAGTAAGGTATTGTTTGACCGGAATAGAATTCTATATTTTACAAGTGTCAAGGATTTTGGCCATTACTCATTTTATTCTGTTGTTTTGCAGTTGAGTTTAAAACCTGAGTTTATTGTCAATTCCAAGAAGAAAGATAATCTAATTTGTTCAGTACCACCAAGGCCACCCCTACAATATTTCTCTTCCACTCGTTCGCTTTGACATCTCAACCCTCTACTGTCTAAGCTGACTCCAAGATGATTCAACCTTCTCCAGCAGACTCACTCCGACTCCATCTCCTGGTTAAATACAGCTCGTACACGTGATGTCCCCTCTTTCCTTGAGATTCAAACCATTCTCTGTTTCAGAGTTCACTGCCTCCTTCCTATCTTACAGAAAATTGTTTCGTTTAACCTTGTGTCTGCTCCCATCTCCGTTTCTGTCTGGCCTCCGACGGCTATCAGCAAATATTTGAAAGATCTTCAGCTATCCCTGTTCCCATATCAGATATCATTTAGCTGTGACACGCCAATCAGCTATATTTTTAAATTAATCCAACTTGTACAGCCTAAATCATTAAAAATCAAGCTCTACCCCCTTAATTCTGGTACATAAAGCTCATTTCCGCTTGTTTGTGCTAGTGGCCCCCTGATCTAAAACTAATTACCTCCTGTTCATTTTGATACTCCCTATAAATCATGCAATTTGCTTCTGATATGATCCTATAGATTTTTCCACAGGCTTCACCTGTACCACATTCATGAGTTCCACACCTGATAACATTCACACACCCAGGCATTCAAATATGTTATTGTCACTCACTCCTGGTCTTAGCCTTAATAAAACAAACACAAGTCTGGTACGGAACAACCCAGCAGCCAGACCCGTCCTTGCCTCACAGCAGCGCCCCCTTCCGGTCAGGATACGGAAGCACCGATCACACAAGACACCTCTGACGCAGAAACGAAGACAAAACAAAACACGCGTACACCTTCACCTCGTGTGTGGAACAAAGAAACGCTCCCTTCCCCCACACGAGTGCTTTACCACACACACAGGCTCCAAGCAGACTTTCTCCGACACACAGAAAAAAGAGAAAAGCAACCCTGAGCTTCCGCCCACACACAGCTCACTCCCCCCTCTCTCTTTTTTTGTTACGTCTCTCCCAACGCGTCCCCCTTGAAGCGTTCACACGACATACAAAACACGGCTCAAACAAAGTTATTACAACGTCCTAAAACTAATGCGATCCCCGATCACATGAAATTTGGTAAACACTAAACTATTTCACTCATTTTCTCTCAAAGCTAAAGTACAAATGGAGTCCAGTATAGACGGCAGTCAACACTCGCCAGAGGAGGCCCGACCCTCAGCCCCTACAGACGCTTGTGAAACGCTGTAGACCTACGTCCCGTCAGACGAAAGTTCCGGATGGCCAATCCCGCTGAATTATGAGAGAAAACGTTGTCACCCACGTGACTTCCGGTAGGCCTTCAGCCGTCCACCGGTACAAGTCCACAAAACTTGTGAAAACCACCTAAAAATGACTAAGTAAGCATTCAGCGATAAAACCGTCTGAATATCGTAATCCATCTCGTCAGAATTAACACGAATCACTGGAAGTTAGCTTAAATAAAACCATCTTTATTTTCCGGAGATGGCCCGCATGCACACGACAGAGGAAGTTGAATTTAGTCTTAATTTAGTTTACCGCCGAAAAGCCAGAACTCCGGACCGTATGGTCCAAACAGTTAACCAGCTTACCTGAAAGTAATGGGCCCAGTCCCTCTCTCTGTGTGCACCGCAAGCCACCTCGATCCAATTCAGTCTAGGCCGCATCACCTCGCCGCACGTCCGGGGTCACCATTTTGTTGTGGATAGAATACCACGTCGTGTTCAAAACGGCTGAGGCGTCGCCCTTCGTATAAAAGATTTATTTGACACAACATGGGTTACAGATATTCAGAGACAAACAGTTACATTAATAAGATATATGCATATAAATGGAGCATTAAGACCAAACCGCCTCCAGCGTGCCTCTCTGAAAATGCTCAGTGCGCGTGCGTCATTCCCGGCCTTTTATCCCCGTTTGAGAAGGCTAGCTTCCTGATTGGTTCAGCTTCTGTAGCTATGGTTACGACGTAGCCCGCCCCCTCAAGGACGTTACGTCTATATTTCAGATAAGTTTTGGTTCGGCTTTTGTTTAAAGTTTAACTTGCTATTATAATTTAGGGATATAAAATGATTCGTGTCTAACTTGTTTATACGTAATAATTAATAACTATTAATTATTACCTATCTCCTGGGTGTTAATTCACTATCTGTTGGAGGTCTGGTGATTCTGTTTTAAGGCAGAATCATCTTAGTTTGTGTGTCTGCGTTTAAAACCGTTAACACTGTTTGTTTAACATGATTATACCTTAGTGATACCACTGATTTGAAATAGTTGTTTATTTCTAGGAATAATTATATTATCTACTCTTATTTCTAGGAATAATTATATTATCTACTCTTAATTTGATTTTACTTAGTCAAACTATACTGTCTAAATTAAAGAGCTGTTCTAGCTTTATTTATGTTAATCAGCCTGCTCTCTGGCCTGATTTGATTGCTTGTAATTTATCAAATGTGAACTTTGTAAAATTATCTTTAGCTACTATGAGATTATATTTAAAGGTCAACTAGTTAGACTTAGCAAACACTTTCTATAAACATAGTTCAACCTTGGAAGAAAGACACGCACACACTTTATATGCCCTGACATTTGAGTGCTTGATAGGAATTATAAAAAGGTATAAAATATTAAATCCAACATCTTTCAACTTTAATGCAGCCTTGTGTAAGCACAATGTATACCCCCACACATTATATCAAAACGACTGTCCTGGCATCGTGATGTGTGCTATTACTTTTATTGGCTTTTCGAGTTACCATGGCGACATATTTTGCTAACAAAGACACCAGTTTTCCCACTGAAAAAGCCTGGTGGAACTCATGAGCAGCTTGTTGGATTTATTTATTTATTTTTGGAAACTCACAAAGTAATCGTCAGCTGTATCTCTAGAACTGATTAACATCTGGAGCCATTTTGGTTCAAGATGGCTGCCACAGCTACCTCAGAAAACTCAGTCATTCTTTGAGATAATGAGCTGAAATTCGGTATGGTTGTAGCTGAGAGCGACTTGTTATACATTCCTAATGCAAATCAAGAATCCAAGATGGCTGTCTTGGCTAAATGGGGAAAAAAATACTATAACTCAGCTATTTTAAAAGATATTGAGTTGAAATTTGGTGTGGTGGTACCTGACAGCGATGCACAGCACACTCTGAATTCAAATCTAAAAATGCAAGATGGCCGCCAAAGCTTTAAAAAAAAAAAAAAAGACCATAAGTCATTGATTTTTTTTTTGCCTTATTGAGATGAAATTTGCTGTGATGGTAGCTGAGAGCGAACCCCTACACAAAGTACTGTCAAATCAAAATTTTAAAATGGCCGCAATGTGTCAGTCCCCATCAAAGTTTCTCCAGGAACTTTCTAGTTTACCTTGCAGCCCCCCTTTTTGTCTGCTCAAGGCAAGAACTGCATCACATTTTGTTCCATCATTTGGCAGCTTCTCGTTCTAATATGCACTCTGTCCTTTTCTCTCCTTCTCCTGAACTAAAGGAGGCGAGCACCCCTTTAGACTTCCAGCGCTGCGCCTCAAGAATCCGGACCGGCTGTTGTTTCCTGATTAAGCGCTGATTGTGAAGCGCCAAGACTCACCGTCACAAGTCTGGGATTGTCAGAGGAGGCCTCCTACCTCCTGCTCCTGAGCCATTTATCACTGAAGAAAGCACCAACAATGTGACCACTGGATCCAGTCAGAACCATGTGGACTGCTACTATGGATCTGAGAACCGGCACACACTGAACCGACACTCATCCAGGTCAGTCAGCCTTCTAACCTCTGCTTTCGAACATTTCTGCTTTGTGTGAAGCTCTTCCTGAGGATTTCACCACTTTTGAGTTTGACAGTTGTTTATTTTTTTTGTGCTTTGAAAGGTTTTTTCAACAATTTGACGACGGTTTTCTTTTTAAAGCGACTTCCTCATTTTGGATATTCATAGATTCAATCTGTCATCAAAGTCTGCTGTTTTTTCTTAAAGAACCAAGAAACAGGAAGTGAGGTACAAAAAAAAAAAGGAAGTTGTGGGAACAACTTAATGCTCAGGAGTAAAACCACAATAAAATTTTAAGGAATAGAGACTTTAGTCCTGTATGTATTTTCTGTAGCGGTGAAAGAGAGTGAAACAAATCACAGTTTGTTAGTTTTGATAGTCTTTTTCAAACTTGTGTTATTTAGAGGGTATTGCATCCTTCTCAACATCTTCAACAAAAACTGTACAAGACTTTTTTCTCTTAATCTTCCTGGAAATTTAACCATTTCTGCCTGTTTCTGTATATTCTAACTATCTGCAAGGTAGTGCCATCTATTTGAACCTTCATTTACTCCAGAGAGTATTGTCCATTGTGAGATGGACCTTTGCATCTGTATCTGTTATTCTTCCTCTTAGCATAAATTCATTCAGCCTATTGAAGATGCTCACACTCAACCTGAGGTTTTAGTTTTAATTGCAGAAACCATAAGGGCACCTGTCCTTGCAAGGTTTACATAAAGTTTTACTTGATCAGGAACTTGTTGACGTCTTAAATGTAGTTTATATCATTAATCCAACAAAGTTAAGTCAGGGGAGGGAAGTCTGAGATTGTCATCATTGCATGTTCCCAGACAATGGCAAAATTAGTTCTCTGCATTTAACCCATCACACCTGAGCTACACCCAGGTGGAGCAGTGGGCAGCTATGCAAGCGCCCAGGGAGCAATTGGGGATCGGGTGTCTTGCTTAGAGACACCTCGACATGTGGGAATGGCTGGGAGTCGAACCACGACTTTCTGTCCCCAAGTCGACTGCCCTACCTCTACACCATCTCAGCCACCAGTCAGGTCAAGTCAGGTCCTCTGGACGGTTTCTTTGTGCTGAAACATTTTGACTTTCATCCAGAAGACTTCATCAGTCTGAGGAGCCACAACAAAATTAGTCTTATAAACAGCACCATATTGGGTCAACCACTACTCCGATGGTTTCTGGAGCCTGCCCTCTCCCCCAGCCAACTCGTTTGAAGCAGTCATGGCCAAAGGGGTGGAAACCGTCCAGAGGACCTGACTTAACTTTGTTGGATTTTTCTGCCTGGATTACTGAGCATGAATTAGGATGTTTTGAACCACTTTGGCCATGACTGCCTCAAACGAGTCGGCTGGGGAGAGGGTGGACTCCAGAAACCACCGAAGCACCATCAAACTGGTTGACCCTGTTAGAGTTATCTTACTTTATCATGCTGAGACCCCCCGGTCTTGTCTGCACAGAGACGGACTAGTTCTGTTCAGTTGTGTACAGATGAGACGGGCCCAGCTGCTCTGAGTGAGCTTCCCAGATTTCAACACACAGTACGGAGTAATTTTTTATTTTGTTGGCTTCCATCACGTAGATAGATTGAACTTCACAATCTCACATAAGGCCCAATGAGGTCACACTTAGCCTGCCCCACTGATTCAATGACAGGCTGTGCTCCCGGAAAAAGGCGGAGCCTAGGGCCAAGAAAAAGACGGATGGTTGATCCACGCCAGCTCTCCGGTTCGTGATCTCCTTGCGTGTCGGGTCGGAGACATTCAGCGCTGAACCTGCAACTTTTTCCTGCCTTATGGACATTAAATTGGTAAACTGAAATTATATCTCCTGATTTATTTGAGTTAGAGCGAGTTTCCTCTCCATCTGGGCATAAAAGAACCACATGCCGGTGGTGGGGAGTCAGACCGGTTTCAGGGACGTACCCGGTCTGGATTCTTCAACCCACTATGAGAAAACGCCATTTATAAGACTGAGTTTGTTGTGGCTCCTCGGACTGATGAAGTCTTGGAGGAAAGACGAAACGTTGCAACACAAAGAAACCGTCCAGTGGACCTGACTGAACTTTGTTGGATTTTTCTACCTGGATTATTGAGCATGAATCAGGATGTTTCAGGAAATACTGTTTTTCTTTGACCAGGTGTTTTGTCACACATGTTGGCCAGTCTAACTTTGGATTTGTACAAGTTGTGCATGTTTATCATTGCTTACTGTGGTAGACTTGTACTGCCTGTGACAGTCTCCACAGTTTTTGCTGCAAGAGGAGAATGAGTAGGTAGAAAACAAGAGCTGTAGTCCTAAAATGTTAGGAAGGAGGAAGGAAGTCGACAATCTGTATTTGCGTTCAGATGTGAGGAGAAATCGTTGTCCGTCCAGATGTTTCTGCGTGTATCTTATCCAGGGTGTTTGTCAGGAGTGTGCGGCCGTCTCGCTCCCATTTCCCCTCCGGTACAGGAAGGCAGGCTGCAGAGGAAACGGTCTCTATCAAACAGCAGATGGAGGACTGCATGTGCTTACACTGCAGAAACACGCACATAAATAGAGTCAACGATCTCACATCACAGGAGTCTGGAGAATCTGAAGTTTTCATAAAATTGTTTTTTCAAATGACTCTTTTAGTAGCAATGATGCTTATTCTAATTTTAGGTTTATTTTGCCTTGAGCTTTTGTGCGGTTCATCTAAACCACTAAAACGTATAATAATGCCGTCATTTCTCAACATAAGAGCTTAGTCTAGAACTTTGGCAACGCTACGCTCTTTGTTGTGTTCAGCTTTTGGACTCTGAGGTCTCCGGCTTGCACGTTTGATACATTTGTCTTGCTGTGATTTAGTAAAACCCAACATGTCGTCATTTCCTCTCCTCCCCTCAGTCATGACTTGTAATGGTCTGCCATGCCTCCATGCTTCTGTCAGAAGCTGTTAACCACAGACAAGCACACCAGTCTGTCTCTCCGAGCTTATATCCAGCTGTGTACGAGGCCTGGATGTTGTACTGCTTTTTTATCCCCCCAAGAGCCTTTTGACTTGGGCTAATCATTTTCTCTGTATGGCTTGTGTGTGAGTGGGTTTTCCTTTCTTTTTTTTTAGATTCATGTAACACGGCTGCTTAGGAGGGAGGACAATGAGGTTCACTATGGTGCCCATGAATGACTCATATTCTTACAGAATTCAGACAAAAGACCAAACGACAGAGTTACACAACGTTAATCAACAAAGTGCTGCTCAGAATGTGCTCTGCAAGGCCTGTGATCCTGCAAAAGAGGATTGTTTTTAAAAAAACAGTGCACAGTTGAGGTTCCTGCAGGATAATTACCATGTTTCCGCTTCCAGTCTCTTGAACAAGGAATGCTGTTCGAATCGTCCGTCGCTACACCGCCTCTGTGGATCTGAACCGTGCCGCAACAAGATTTGTTTTGTTTTTGTGCTGTTTTTAGATGTTTGTCCAACCTGGAGTGTGATAAAGGAGCATAAAGGGGCTGTTGTACTCTAAGATGAATAAGCACCGCTGTGAAGGGCCGGTTTTGCTATGGCAACTGGAGCCCCTCAACAGTAAAGTGTTGCTTCACCTGCAGTCTGGGGACGTGTCAGGAACCAGAAGACGCAGTTGTCGGACCCCGTTCAAACAGAATGAGTTTTGTGGTGTGTGTCTGCACCGAGCGGACCTGTCTGCAGGGCAGCGGAGGCAGACTCATCCTCACAGCAGGGCTCTTATCCCCTCTGCTTCTCTCCTCCTCCTCTTCTTTCCCTCGCTCTGAATCAAGTGGCTTTTTGTTCTCCCGCGGCGGCGCTTATCGCTTGTTTCTCCACGGCTGCCCTCCACAACCTTCTCTTTTGGAATGAAAGGATATTTTGGGGGGATAGATAGATGGATGTTTGTCGGTCAGGCCAACCCCAGTCCTCGCTCTAGTGCTGATGACGAATTATTTTCATGTCAATAGAAAAACAAGCTTGCGGGTTGTTCTGATTACAGGCTTTGACATGGCAGTTTATTTAAAATCGCTCGAGTGAAGTGAGTTTGTTTGTCCCAAACGATTCTTTAGCTGCCTGTTATTTCTGCGCTTGGTAAACGTGAGGAAGAACCAGACGGGGGGATAGAGTGGTTAGTTGGAATGCACTCTGCAATTACAATTTCTAAAGGCATTTAAATTAGCTGTTGTGTTTGTGCATATATATCCATCTGTGCAAGTC